AGGCAAGGAAAGCCTGCCCGGCACCGGACAGGCAAGGGGCGAGTCCTGCAGTAAGGTAGGCAACCGTAAGAGAGGGCCAGAGAAAAGGATGCGCAGAGAGAGGGGGCGCGCACCGGGTAGGCAGAAGACACAGTCGGATGAGGAGGATTCGCATAGACGAGGCGTAACAACGGCGAAGGAGGTCGCCGCTTCTGTGGAGAAGCAGAGGCTGGGTGGAGGCGAAGGTGAATGGCAAAGTAGCGACGAGCGAAGTTACCTGTGGCACGAGCCGAACTAGAGGCAACGCGGCGGAGTCTTGGGAACGAGGTAGAGAATATGAATGGTAGGTAAGAGAGTCGGCATGAGGCTGGAGGCTTACGTTTTCTGCTGTCGATGACTGCATTAGGTTATTTTCGTACTCTCTACTCGATTGCCGTGCGAGCGGCCCACCCGCCCTCCCACTAACAGCCAAATGGCTGATCGGAATTGTCTTTGAAGGGTTTGGGTACCGCGGGAGTGTGGTCGCAGACGCAATGGCCTTCCCCACAATAAGTTAGTAGTGAGTACGGATCACGCGATGACGTTTAAGCAATGGGCCTTAACTTCGCTAGGCAGCTTTGTGCGACAGTTGGTAGTTAGGTGCGGACGTGCCGCGCGCTCGCACCCATCGTCCAGAGAGGGATGGCTTAGAGCTTCACAGATAAGGTCAGAATTTTTGAAGCGGTGCCTTGAGCTAATCCTGCGCCGTAGCTCTGTACTGCAGTGCATTGCTATCTGCCCTGACCCACCCCGGGCCGGTATAATCCGCGATACAGCCACCAGGTAGGGCGCACCGGGAGCCCACGACAACAACAACAACAACAGCTGCTACTATGGACTTGCTGTTGTCAGATGCCGCTGCCGTCAGACATGGCGGTGAACGTCTAATCGTCACTGCGCACATGTAGAAACCAAATTCACCCAGTGGCGGTTCTCTTCGCTGTCTCCCTCCAACATATTTCTGAGAGCCTGAGCTGCTAAGGGACGACCCCCCCACTAGCTCCACCGCCGAACCCCAACCTATCAGTGCTGAAGCAATGACACTGCCGGTGTGGTGACATCTGTTAGCCAGTGACTGTGGGCCAGTAAAGGGCTTGCTTGTTGTGTTGTGGCAGCACCATCGCCAGCAGCACCACAACAATCATCATTCCGCAACACACAACCTGACATACATACACACGTGTTCAGTGCCTCTAAAGCACACTCCCACCCCACTCAACACCACCGCCGCATTACCCGACCCGACCCGACCCGACCCGGGCACGGGCCCCCTCCATGTGCCTGCGCCCGCCTGCCCTACCGGCTCAACCAAGTAAACTACCCCCCCTCCTCCCCTCCCCACCCCAGGCCCCCCCTCAGCCCCGCCCTCGCCTCCGCGGCCGCAAGCCCTTGCCCCGGCGCGTGTCCCTCCCCGTCACCCAACACCTCCATGAGGTCCGCCAGGTTGCAAATCAACAAACTGAAGAGCGCAAACGTGATGACCACAGTCATGGCCAGTGCGCCAGCGGTGTCGTCAAACCTGGCGGCTCCGGCGCGGAATCGAACCGCGGACCGCGGCAAGCAGGGGAAAAGGCAGAGAAACAAACGTTGTGGGCAGTGTAGACCTTCCGTTCTCTTCCCTTAACTTTGCGCAGATGTGGATGCGGTTCTTCCTCGCACGCACAGACATACCTACACTCAGACCATTAAGACGCACACGCGCGGCAGGCCGAACAACATTGGACAGGAAAGACATTGCCGTACGGAGGGGGCTGTTCTCCTCTCCCGCCGACATCACCCGCGGCCTGTCCACGAACCCCGACACCTAACACCTCCCCCCCCAGATTCCCCTCTCCCCCTCCCTCACCTCCCCGGATGCAGCTCGTAGAAGCGAGTGGACCTCCAGACAAAGGCCCCCAGGCCGTACCCCGCCATGGCAATGGACAAGGCCAGCAGTACGAAGGCGGTCGTTTCCGAGATGTGGACTGTGGGTCGCTCGAAGGGGTTGGTGTGGGCGCTGGCGGCGAAGCCCAACATGCCTGCAGAGGGGGGAGGAAGGACTTTGGCCTGGATGGCGCCTGCCAGAGACCCGGTGCACGGCCCGAGAATAGGACCAGCTCACAACGGCCCTCACACACACACACACACATGCGCACACGCGCGCGCACATGCACACACGGAGAGAGACTTTCCTTCCCCGGTGGTTCTCCTCCCCCCCCCTCCCACAGCCCCAGCCCCCACCTGTCGCGAGACCCCCCACAGTAATCGCAGTTCTCATCCACTGCAAGAAGATGCGCTCGTTACGTAGGACTGAGCCGGGTCCAGAAAGATGAGCTGGGGCTGGTAGGCACGACCCTGGGTGTGGGGGGTGGGTGGGGGGGTGGGGGGTAGGGGGAGAGGAGGTGTTAGCTGGGTAATGGTGGCAATGAGGAAGGCCGGGGCCCGGGCTGGGTGAAGACGGGGGAAGACCTGAGGGCACCTGACCCAACGCCCCCAGCTAAACCTCACCTAAGTCGTAGTTACGTACTTACGTACGTATATACATACATACACGCACGCACGCATACGCACCTGCAATGCCTGCCGCTGCAGCAGCTTGGCCTGCCAGCCCGCCTGCACCGCTGCCGCCGCGCCCCCCAGCCGGGAAGACACGTTGCGTTGAAGCGAGTGCAGCAACGGAATCAACGGCGAGGAGCTGTCCTCAGAAACTGCCTGCTCCCCCTCCACCTCCCCCTCCTGTGCTGCACCTGAACCCCCCCTTGCCGCCGCCGCCGCTGCTAGCTCATCGCCGCTGGTCCTCCTGCAACTGGTGTTGCCATGATTCGTCGGCAGCTGATGGCGCTGTCGGTGACTATGGCTACTGCTGTTGCTAACTTTGTTTGGTCGATTCAGCGGCATGGAGGGGGACCGTGAGGTACCTGGGTGCGGCTGCGGCTGCTCTTTGGAGCTCCTCCCGGGCTGGCCGGGGGCTGCAGATGGAGTGATGACTGCGGCGGCTGTTGCTACTGCTGTCGTGCGATTGGTGTTGTTGCTGTAGTTGTTGGTTTTCCGTCCAGGCTGCATGGAAGCAGCGGAGGCGAGTGGTGCGGAGGTTGTGCGGGTGGGTGGTACGTACACGGCTGCTGCTGCTCCTGCCGCAGTTTGCTCCCGGACTCCCTCCTCCATCTCCGCCACCACATTGTGACCTGCGAGCAGCAGGGCCTGTACGGGGGGAAGTTTGGTGTGTGGAGGACGGGTGGGTAAGACGAACCACTGGCAAATGAAGCAGATGCCAAGGATAGCCGGTATTACACACACACGGGGAGCCAGGGGACGCAGTGGGGAAAGGGTCTGTGTGCAGGGCGGGGCGGGGCGGGGTTACAGAGATTGCAAGTGTACGTGAAAGCCGGTGCACATCAGCGGAGGGCGGAGGGGGCTCTCTTCATCACCGCTATCAACAGCAGCCGCGACAGCCCTCCCCCCCTCCGGGCCCCGCAACAGTGTGCAGCTGAAGGGGGGATCAGGTGGTGGCGGTGGTGGCGGTGATGCCGAGGGAGGAGAGGGAAACAGAGACCCAACAGCCGCCCGTCCCTCGAAGCCGCAAAAGCGTCCCCCCAGGTGTATTTAAAGTAGGGTTAGGGGAGGTCGAGGAGGGCCAGCCCCGTCCCTCAGACAGCAGTCAGCTGCCGGCTGCTGCTGCCGGCTCTGGGTCGGGTCGCCGATATCCCCCGTCGAGGCTGCCCGCCCGGGGAATGACGGGGAAGGCAACACGGAGAGAGCGCGCCGCACCATTGCCAACAAAATCCAGCCGTCGCAAGGTGTACGGTGTACGGTGTAGTGTGAACGGCAGTACCTGCAATTCCTCATTGGCCATCACGTTGGCGTACAAGCTCTTCTGTATGACCTCGTCATCGATCCACTGCGGTACGGCCCGTACCATGTCCGGCAGGAGCCCCGCGCAGGCGTGCAGGAACTTGCTGAAGTCATTCATCTGCGATACACAGCAGCGCTTCGTTCACTCATTTTGTTGATTTAAGATCGCACGTTGTTGTTGTCTTTGTTGTTGTTCGTCTCTTCCGTTGGGACAACTACTGGCTGAGCCACTACTGGCGGATGCGCAGCCGCAGTGGCGGCACGCAGCGGATCACACCCGTTTCTCGTCTGGAAGTGGCGGCAAGGACTCCAACAACAACAACAACAACTACTACTACAACACCGTCCGAAACGCTTCTCACATCCGAAAACCTCCTATCGCGCACCACACACCACATTACGTGAGACGCTCAACCTCGCAATGCCATCATACAAACACACACGCACACACACACACATACACACGCACACACGTGTTCGAGCCCCCTCACCGGTCTAAGCAGCCCCGACTGCAGCAGCTGCCTGAGCCAATGGGGGACATCGAAAGCCTCATCCGGCCGCTGAACCTGGGGACATACATACATACATACATACAAACATGCGAGATGGTCGCTGAACCGGAGGAAAGCTCACGATACGTATAATACATTAGTGCCGCTCATGGAAAGAGAAACTTATGGAGTCAGCGGGTGGGTGGGTGTAGGGTAGCACGTGCTGAGGGGGCCGAAGTGGGGCCTCGGTCTCCCACAGTGTGAGTGACCTTCATAATACAGCCCTGGAGGGAGGGGTTACGAACCACCCTGAACCACATCCTCACTTTGAATATTGCGTACGGAAACTCGATAGCGTCAGCAGGATGCTCCTGGCGCCACAGCCCGTGGGATAGACGCGTCGAGGTGTCGTACGCATACTCCAGCAGCATCTGCAGTGCAGGAAGAAGCCGTACGCTATGAGCCAGAGGGCTTCCGGTAAAGACATAAGAGTTGATGTGGCTGATGATTCGCCTCAAGTGCATGTCGTACACGTACACCATCCAAACTGGGGCACATTCACTGCGAAACACTCCGGTGGATCCAGGAGGTGGTGGGCCGGGGGAGAAAGACGAAGCACGAACGCGAGCAAAGCTGATGCCAGGCGCGGGCCCCACCTCGGCAAAGACAACCGAGGCCCTACCGCCGTTCGGGTGCTGCTGCCGCGGCGGCTGGACCTGCTCCCGCCCTTGTTTTCCCCATCCCACCCCAACTTCTTCCCCGGCTCAGAGCCACACAAAACACGCACACCCACACGCGCGCGTCCCCCCACAGCCCCACCCCCGGTCCCCGCACCTCACCTGCACGTCCTCCTCCAACAAGGCCTTCAGCCCCCACTCATCGCATGGCTCCCGGAAGGTGGTGTTACGGAACCGCATCTGGCGTCCAAAAGGGGTGGGGAGGTCCGGGGGGTGGGGGGGGAGGGAGGGGAAGGGGCTGCAGGGACCGGCAAGAGAGGGGACGGCACGCGGGAGGGAACCGGGGAACCTGCCGGTAACACACCAAGGTAAACTCCATGTCCCAGCCAGCTGCCCTTCCCTCCCTCCCTTTCCCCCCTCCCTCCCTCAAGGTAGGATAAGGCTCCCTCCCCCCCCTTCCCCCCTCACCTGCACCATGGGTTGCAGTCCCTTGCTCTCCACCAGCCGGGCCACCTCAGTGAACGTTTTGAACAGCTGGTACTCCTGAGGGGAGGGGAGGGTTAGGAGGGGGGGGGGTAGGAGAGGGGAGGGTAATCCGTATCAAGGGAAGTGTAAGGGGAGTGTATATCAGAAACCATCAGACGGGGGTTTTCCGGGTGAAGGGCAGAAGGGGCCGGCATTAAACCCGATCCCGTGGACCGGGACTCGGGGGCGGGGGCCCCACAGCGAGAAGAGGGCAAGGTCAGGGCGGAGGAAATCCTGGTGCGACCAACACATGGCGGGGGGGAGGGAAAGGAACGGGGGCCTTATCATTAATACCTTGGCAAGACGTGCGGGGTCATCCGCAGGCAACCCGTGGGTCGCAGAACCACCACCACCACCACCACCACCACTTCTATTGCTTGTAACACGGGCTCCAGCTCCGCTGCTGCTACCACTGCTACTGCCGCCACCTGCACCGCCGCCGCCGCCCAAGGTGCCAGCAGTGGTAGCTACGGCCGTTGATGATCCGACGGCGCCAGAGGACGCAGCGTCGCCACGCGGCCAGCTGTCGGTTTGGGCAACTGGTTGGCGGTTAGGGTGGTTACGGTGGCTGTGGTTGTGGTGGGCGTGGCTTGTGTTGCGTTGATGTTGTGGTTGTTTGGGCCGGATGCCGTATTCCTCTGGCATCATCAATTTGCGAGCGTCGGCCCAGGTCCACCGCCCGTTCAGAAAATCGGCCACCTGCGAAATGAGCGGTGGGAAAACGGCAACACCGGCAACACCAATTAAAAGTTATGCCGGTTGCACAAACCCACCTGGTTTCCTGAAGCGCAATCGATCAGTCAAAGCAGTTCTGTTAGGGAACTTCCGTCCAGTGGGAAATCTTGACTCGCTTAAGAAACTTCCCATTGTGGGCGCGCAACTCAAGGACGAGGAAGAGACACGATGTTGGGTAAGATGTAGTAGTAGTAGTACAAATGCGCATGTGTTTACGTTGGCTAGTGTAAAAAGAGAAAAGCGGAACCCCTCTGCGGCCCCCACCCCACCCCTGCCGAGCCCAGCCACGCACAGGCGCCCGCCCACCCACCCGGGTCTCTTGGAGCGGAAAGCTGTCCTCCGCGCAGTCCTCCGGCCGCCAGCCCTCCCGGTGCACCTGCCGAATGACGTCAATGGTCTCAGGCACGCGGCTGCCGTACCAACGGAGCTGTAAAGTCGTTGCGTACGGCCTGCCGTACAGCAGATTGTGGTACAGTTCCAAGGAGGCGTTATCCAGGAACGTGCAGTTGACCAGGTCAGCAGACGCCGAGTCACACTCGGCCCATAGGGCGGCGGAACCGGTGGCGGCGCCTGCGGCGGCGGCGGCGTTCGTCGGCGGGGGCTGTACGGCCATGTGCTGCATCAGCACATGCTTCACCTGCAGTTCGTTGCCACGCGCAAGTTCGGGTTATCCCCCCGGGGGGACAGTTCGCATGCAGGTCAGGTCAACTGATGTGGCCAGGTGAGGTGATGAGCGCACATGTCCGGACCGAGGGTGTGCAACACACCGAGTAGGGACCGGGCGCAGGGGGCAGTCATGCGCCCAACACACACGCAGCTGGCGAGGCGGCCGCGAATACCCTCTTCCTCTTTCCGCATACCTGCCTCCGCCCTCCTCCTTACCAACCCCTAAGCTAAGCCCCCTCATCCAACCTCCAGCTCGCGGGCTATCCCACCCACCCCCGTCCTCCGACCCCCTCCAACACTCGGCGGCAGTTATCTCCCGACTACACTCCGGGGTTTCCCCTCCCCGACCGTTGCACCCACCAGCGCCACATCCTCCAGTCGCACCCAGAAGGTGCTGTTGGTGAAGTCCTTGTGGTGGCCAGCTACCGCACCCGGGGTGCCGGTTAGGCCGCGAGAGCTAGCGGCCGCTGCGGAGGTGGGGGCGGAGGCATACCCCGCACCACCCGCAGCCACTGCGGCTGCATGGAGCTGTGAGAAAATGCGGGAGAGTGTGACCTGGGGATTTAAGCCCCACCACACACATACATACATACACACATAAGAGGGAGGGACGCGGTTAGGAACACAGAGAAGTGGTGTGTTTTGTTGTTTGTGTATGTGTGCATATATACGGGGATTGGAAATAGGGGAAATGACGCAGCATATTACATCAAATCATGTCGTACACGTGCATGCAACACTATCGTACAAATAAACTAGGTTAGGCACTACTGGTAAGGCACGACAATTGCCCCCGGGAGATCCCGGGATCGAGACCTGTCAGGGTCGAAAATCCTTCCGATGGTGCAGGGTAAAGTGCCCCTGGTCGATGGACGGTGGTGACCTGGGATAAAGTTGCCTTGTAAGCCGACCAGGAATGGAGTTCAGCCGGCAGATTCCGTTGGATGCTAGTGGTGGGTGCGGAACCTGAGCGATCCACTGAGAAGTCGGCTAGGGTGACTGGATGAGGGTGCCCCGAAATACCGGGAAAGTCAGGGTTTCGCCAGGTAGCGGCCACGGGTGAAGATATACCCCCCTGTTTCACACAACACTATCGTACAGTATAGCTATTACTTCCTTACCTGGATGTCATGGTGGTCGCCTCGCACCCAGGGTTGGCCGTTTATGTGAACCTTTTGCTCGCGGGGTGGGCGGGGTGGGCGGGGTGGGCGGGGTTTGAACGTCAGGATGGGGCCCAGGGTCTACCCCGGTGCCTACGTGGACATGTTCGGTCCAGGGTGACCAGGGAAATGATGTGTGTGTATGTATATATATGTATGCATGTATGTGTGTATCTGTGCGTGTGTATGTATGTATGTGTGTTGTGTGTCTCAGCGGTTTCCCCTGGTCTCATCAAGGGACTGAGTTCCACACAGCGGGGTGATCTGATACACGGGGCCCCCCACGGGTCCCGCTGTTTCCTCCCCCGCTGCCGCTCCCCTCCCCTCTCTTCCCCTCCCCCCACCTTGTAGAAGTTCCAGCAAGGTGCGGAGGGAATGAGCTTGTCGTGCTTCTTCAAAATCTTTTGGAGGCCCGTGTAGTTCAGGTTGACGTACCTGCAGGGAAAGCAACCGTATGATATGTGGGACAGGGGAACATATCTTCACCCGTGGCCGCTACCCGGCGAAACCCTGCCTTCCCCGGTATTTCGGGGCACCCTCATCCAGTCACCCTAGCCGACTTCTCAGTGGATCGCTTAGGTTCCGCACCCACCACTAGCATCCAACGGAATCTGCCGGATCAACGGCGGCTTAACTCCATTCCTGGTCGGCTCACAAGGCAGCTTTATCCCAGGTCACCACCGTCCATCGACTAGGGGAACTTTACCCTGCACCATCGGAAGATTTTCGACCCTGACAGGTCTCAATCCCGGACCTTCGGGGGCATCGGTGTGTGCGTTGCCAGTAGTGCCTGGACTGTGTATGTATGTATGTGTGTATGTATGTATGTATGTATGTATGTATGTATGTATGTATGTATGACTTAGATTACACTGTGGGCTGCGAGAGCCGGGGGCCGAATGTATGTATGTATGTATGTATGTATGCATGTATGTATGTATGTATGTATGTATGTATATATGTATATGTATGTGGCCCCCTCTCCCCTTTCCTCACTTCTCCAGCCTAAGGTACTCCTCCCCCAGCCTCCTCGCAACCGCCAGCCAGTGCTCCCGAGTGGCAGCATCGGACAGGTCGCCGGAAGGAGGCGGCAATACCACCACCACCGGGCTGACTGCACCGCCCTCAGCATCTGTCGTGCCATTGCCGTATGTTGATACTTGCTGATCCTGCTGCAGGTGCTGTTGTTGGCACTGTTGCGGTTGGTACCCCCCCGCCAGTCCCACCAGCACCTTCCGCAGTTGAGACCGGAGGCCCACGGCGACCCTCTGCGGGGGCAGCAGCGCGTAACACCGCGTGCGTGTGTGTGCGTGTGTCTGAAGGGGTAAGTGCGGCGCTGGTTGGCGGTGTTGGCAGTGGAGTTGGTAATGGCGTTGGCGCTAAGGGAGGATCAGGCGTGGTGGTTCGCCTACGACCTTTCCATGACCGCAAGAAATGAAACGCAATACTGAGTGGAAATCCTTAGCTGCCGCTGCCGATGTGGATGTGGATGTCGACTGGCCGGTTCCGTGTCGTTTACGGGGTTCGCCGAGCCAGTTTTCGGATTGTCCTCCCCACCAAGCTTAAGCCAGCTACAGCCAGGCGTGCGTACCGGACGGCTCCAGATCCTGTGTCGTCTTTAAGCGCATCCCCACGGGGGCATTATTGTTATAACCACAGCACATCACGCACCGTTGTGAACGCGTTGATGCACTGGACATCCTCCTCAAGCAGCCGAAAGAACTCCTCTTGCGGTGTTGCGTGGACGTCGTCTGGCTGTTTCCCGACTGTCAATGACAGAGTCGTCGGCACGTACACGGGCGCGCCGGCTTCCAAGATCTGCACCCCGCGCAATTCGTGTCCCGCAAGGTCGCGCGTAGGCAAGTGTTGCCGCGTTCTACCTAGGTCAAAGTGACCCTACCTGATGCAGCAGTTTTTTAAGCTCTCCATAGCGTATGTAATTTCGTCTCCACGCATCCTCCTGGTGCGCTACCAAATAACGCTTGAACTTCATGGACCGTGTCGCAGCCGCGCACGTTCAAGTACGATATCTGACCAACATATTGCCTAGTATTGATAACGCTTGGCATGGAAATCCACAGATTGCTTTCAACTATTACAGAAATATGGTCCCCGGACCTCCCGCTGCTTTGTCACCGGTGGTTGGGCGCCATGTCAAAGTTTAAATTCATTACATAAATCAGTGATCATATTACATAGCCGTTTAGTAAAGTTGCTTGTTTGTCCTTTACAAAAGCAGAGTCCGCAGATAGCCGAGGTCGCAATGATATGTGAAGGCCCTGATACCCCTTGCACATGCCAAAATATGCACACGCTTATCCAGGTCGCCGGGAAAGCATACTTCTTCCCCTAGAAATATGTGCCATTACGGGAATATACAGTCTTGTCGTACACTGTAGATACTGCCCCCTGAACTCAGGCCACAAGCTCGAGGAGTCAGAGCAAGGATGCCAAAGCTCAGGCCACTGTGAACTCCTGCGAATATCAAGGCAAGTCAGACGGTTTGCGCGAAGAAGTTGTAACGGGAAGCCATAATTATGAGCCATACAACCGCCGTACGTTTTCAACTTGCCGTACCAGGCAGAGTTATGCGAGAACGCAAGCAATAAATCTGAACTCTTTGACGAATACCGTTTCTGGCCTCAAACCACTCTGCATCGTTCACGTGAGTGCCACCCGCCTTGACAAGTTATCACATCGTTCCGTTGCACAATCCTTCAGCGCGCCGGTCTCCGGCCCTCACCTTGCCTATGACGGGGTCCCTGTGCCCCACCCACATGCCGTCCTTGAGAAAGTGTCCCTCCTGCACAAGGCTGCTCGTCGAGTAGAAGTATGACCCTGCGGTGGGCTTGCTTTCCGCAAACTTGCCCATAAACATGGAGCCATCCTTGAAGATCCAGCGCCCGTACGTGAAGTGTCCCTCCACCCAGTCGCCCACCAGCTGGCAGCAGGGGGCCTTATAATGGTACATGCCCTTGCCGTGTCGCTTGCCTGACTGGAACTCGCCCTGCGTTTTTTTTCACCAGGGCGAGTCGGAGTGAAGTGGATGGGCTTGGAGAGCAGTGGCGCGACCCCGGTGCCGGACAGCCGATGCGAAGGGCATCGGGCCGCGAGGGTGATGACACCCTAGGTACTGCCATGTCAATAGCTTTATGGAAATGCACTGCCATACCCATTTTCATCGCGGCTGGTGGCTGTGGCCCGCAGTGGTGGCAATGGTGGCGGTGATGTTCCAGCACTGTGGTCCCTTCCCCGTGCCTTGGCGTGTCCCCACGAGCTGGGCTCCCAGTCCCAGTCCCACTCCCACACCCCGGGCTCATCGAATCAAGGCTGCTTCCAAGCCACAGTCGTGCAAGTCCAAATTCCCCCCCACCTGTCTCACCGTGGCACACGTCTCCTAGCCCCCCTGCCGCCACCCTCTGGTGGCCACCCTCCCCTCGCCACGACAAGTCAGCCCCTCGGTTAGCTGCATGATGAGCCTCACCTGGTACACGTCGTTGTTGGGATAGGTGAACGTCCCGGAGCCCTGCATCACGTCCTCTACCCAGTCACCTACAGACGGCACAAGGGGGCCCATTATAGGGGAAAGGGCGGGTGTAAGGGAACACAGTATCGTGTAGGCTGTGGTTTCCTGGGAAAAAACAGGGCCAGGGCAGGGTGAGACATCGTCTGCCGCTAGCGGACATTCCTTCAGTGGGTTTTGAATATGTGTGTATGTTCGTGTATGTGTGACAGGCTGTATGGGAGGGCGCACAATGAGGTCAAGTGATGGGTGTCCAGGGCTGTCAACTTTCTGCTGTGGTACGAAAACGGAGAAAGCCTCCACGACTGGCCCCATCGGCACAACCGCGCGGGCTCCGTGCGGCCACAATCATCCGTGGCATGAAGCCCCCTGGTTGAACTTACAGGTAATGGATGTGGGTCCATGGGGCCCCTAGAGCAACACAGGCAAAGCTGCAGGCGCCATGCCGTCAGCGCCATGCCGCACTCACCTTCATAAACTCCCTTATCCGGAAAGACCATTTTCCCTTTCCCGTGCTTTTTATTGTTCACGTAGTCCCCTGTGTATATTGCACCGTTTGACCAAGCATAGGTGCCTTTCCCTTGTCGAGTTCCGTGTATCATGGTGCCCTCAAAGGTATCCCCTGGCTTCTCCTCCTCGTCATCCTCGCCCATTGGAGGAGGTGGGTATGCCATTTTGCCCTGTGGTGTGGTTCGGGTCAGTCATGGCGCAAATGATTAGGTTCCGCTCCAGAAATATGAAATGATATGTCAATATTATATGCAGTATTAGCAATATGTATCTCACCTGCCCGTTTGGCTTTCCATCCTCATCGACTGGGCCTTCCCAGACCTGCAACGAACGTCTAGTCAGAAAGTTACTTTTAAATAATGCGCCATCCCATAATCATCCTACCGGCTGAGGTGGAGCCTCGTCTTCAGCCATAGGTGACAACTACGGAATTGTTGAAAGGAACAACGATACTGTGTAATGATGAAACAAACTTCCTCGACTAATTGTTACATGAATTTCATTTAAGTAGAAACGTGGAAACCACCCAAGGCGTTCAATGTAACGCGATGGCGTACGGACCTTAGATGCTGGCGACTCAGCTGAGCCAGGTATATGAGCTTATTCCTATTTGGTTTTCAGCACTGTGACTTGTAAGCGGGCTGCAGCAAAGGTCTGTTGTGCAGCAACCTTGACCCATGGACCGCAGACCCCTAGCAGGTTATGCCTGTTAGAACTACGCAATTCAAATTTGTAATAGGAATGTGCAATGCTACGATTAGCATTGAGAAAAACTCCCAAACTCACCGTTTCCGAGTGATTTTCCGAGCGATTGTGCGTCTAAATAATCGAATATGGTGTTGAGACATTGAAATTCGCAGTCCACGACGCGGACCACAGTTATCTTCAAAGTACAATGTCTAGATGCTTGACCAACCATCAAGCTCTGTCACATGTCAACCACAGGTTACTTTCAGGTGACTCTCAGGTTCGTGCCGCATTTTTGCGCCGTCGGATGTGCCGTCGCCGACACACACAGCCATAAGCCTTGCCTGCACCAGCCCCGCGCTGAGGTAAACCACGGTTGGTACGCACGGCTGTGACATATTTGGATCAGCAATTCGTCGATCTACAGACATATGGCCTAGCAGTTCTCTGTCTCCGGCAAATGTATGGTCTGAAGTCCTTTCAAGGGGACCGCCTTGGACTGACTCGGTCCGTACGGAAGGCCACGGCCTGCTGTCGTGTACGTGGCAGGTCACACCGGAACTCCATTGGTGCGGGATGGCGGTGTCGAGGCTACATGGGGATTCCGGCATCATTAACAGTGGCTTTTGGATTGGAAAATTTGGTGTTCCAGTGCTGATGTGCAGGAATGCCAAGTTCATTCAGCTTGACACCAACGCCAGTGTTGACGTTTGCAAGCATAAATCTTACGCCTTTCACAGACTACGCAAATGAAAATAACAGAAAATGAACGGTTCCCATTTTGTTACACGATGCCACTTCATTCTGCACCTACTGATATCCTACTGATCCCCCCTTCCCAGGAAAGGAAAGGCCTCTCGCAAAACCCACTCTGTTTTTAGTCACCAATGCAGCAACCATTCCTATCCCCTACACAACTCCCATTTCGATAAAACGTCGTACATGTCAACACTTATCCCTTTCACGATGCCCCACTTACATCTTGTTATAGTCAATTCGCCTCACAGTCAATCATGTATGCGAAGCTGTGCTTGCGGTATGCTCAATGGCAGCAAATGGTTGCACTCAATAGCAATAGCAGGTTACCGCAACCACACGAGGATCTGATCTCTGTATCTGTACAAATGCGTTCGTACACCCACCAAACACCAAACGAAGTTACAGCGCTTTTGCGATCACAGCGCCTTCTGTGCAGGCCTGCACCGTTTAAACATACACACTTCTAATACATCCCATTCGCTGCGTACATATCCACAAATCCATTCATACTATCCAAAAATAGCGCCCTATGCATCACCAGACTTGATGTGCAGTGTGTGCGGCTTCTCAGCGCCCACTAGGCGTTTGTAAAGCATCACAGCGCCTCCAATGAAGACAATAATGAGAGAGATTATGCAAGCCAACGCCACCCAGCCAGTGACGGTGATCGTACTGCTAACTGTATCCACCAGGACAGACTCAAGACCAGCAGCTTGCTGGACCTGAGCAATTTTTTGCATCAGAGCTGATGTCGACTCAGGGTGATCGAAGTAAACACGAGCATCCTTTGGTGCAGCAACGAGCACCAGTGCACGGCATTTGCTGTCAAGCCGCTTGCCCTCCACCAGCGCCTTCGATAAGCACCGCCCCACGGCGCCGATGGTGAACACAGCGCCAGACCGGCTACGGGCGCCCTGCAACCATTGCAATAACAGGGTCAAGTTCTCGAAGATGAGCCACCGTGCACGGTTTCAGGAAGCTGGGCATGGATTTGAAGAGCAAAAACTGGGGATGGGTTTCAGCTTTATGAACGTCCGTCATATCTACATTTGACCCTGAAAAGCTATAGCTTCCAGGTCAGAAGGCTGGCTTGCCAAACCACTCCAGTAGGCAGATTTAAGACTCTCACATTATACCCAGATAAAAACTGCAATGGCAAGCGACCGTGTTCCCTTTGCAATCTCTACGAGCTATTGTTTTTTGACTGGTGACTTCGCTGCGATTAACAGACTAAGTTCCTGAGTTCAATTCCTGGACAGATCCCCGACATTGTTTGGGCGATTATGGCTTGCTGCATTAAGCTGCAGCTGCTAAACTAATTCACATGTTGGATTGCTGCAATTGCTGAACCTCCTGTCTCTACAGATGTTCAGGTGACTAGATGAGGAAGGACCTAGTTGGCAGGATTCAAATCGACTTCCAGTTTGTACGGCAAAAAATCAAATCCAATTTTAGTCCACAAGCCCCCGGCCTTTAATGGACAACCCCGCATTCGTGCGTAACTTGTAAACTTGTAATGCCTTGCTACCAGCGAGTCACCCAACCCCAGGCCTTAGCCCCTAAGCAAGGATTATAGCATCTTAAGCACTATCCATCCTACATTACAGAAGTTCCCACATACGTTTACAAGAGGCAGAACCGTCTTACCCTTGGGCACTGTGCCTCCACGTCAGTATCGCAGGTCGTCGTGAGTGCTGCACCGGGCTTATAATCCCACAACGCGAGGCGAACAGCACGGGACATTTCCGTCTGGCACTGCTCCGCAAGGCTCTTAAAGTTATCCACGAGACACTTGAGGACTGTAGCGTTGCCACGGAGCTTGGTTTTTGCCTCCTTACAGTAGGTCTCGACGTCACTTTCGCAGTTAGTGAAGACACCAATGTCGTATCGATAATCAGATTTCATCATGTCCTCACGCTTCTGCAGCTCCTCTTTGCACTCCTCCCCGAAGTTCGGCTGGGCCATGTTCTCCATCAGGCACTTAATAACACGAGCTTTGCCTGGCTTCACATCCTGTACGCGTGCAGGGGGCAGAAATAAACATGAATCAATCCCATTGTGGTAGTACAGATTGGAGCACGACCATCTACGATAGAAGGGTGCACCTGCAAGATGAGAGACATGCCCAGTATTGAGTACATCGCCACAAATGCATGAACAGGAAGCTGTTGTTCTTGAGCAACTAGCGGTTGTTCCATACCTTGCAATAAACGGCCTTCTCCTCTGAGCAGAGCTTGTTAAGTTTTGGCCGCAGGCGGATGTCACGGTACTCCAGTGCAGCGAGTTTCATCTCCTCATTACGACACTGTTCCGACAACTTCTCCTTGTTGTAACGCAAGCACTGGTGAACGCGGCCCTCGCCTATAAGTCAAGGCGGCACAGTTTGAGCAAAAAACTGGAGGTCCCCAAGGTATGCCTTCACTGTTCAAACATATTTTTCTCGAAAGCTTACCTGGCTCGACATCCTTGCAATACGATTCGACATCGCTCCTGCATGCTTCAGCAAGGATAACGTCATTGCGGAAGTCGGTAACCTCCATGAGCTCGTAGTAAAAGACCTCATCCTGGCACGCCTCGTTAGTAATATTATCCTGCTTATCTTGCAGACACTGCAGAACTAGACCGCCGCACGTCACGCCGGGAGTAGTACTGCACGAGTTCGGGCAGAGCTTCTGAATTTCTGACTCGCAGGCGTGGTTCAGGCGCCAGTTCAGACGATAGTCCTGCGCCATACGATTCATGTCTTTCATGACCTCATCCTTGCACTCCTTAGACATATCAGTGTTGTCCAGTTGATCCTCAAGGCACCTGCGTAAATCAAGTTGGACTTCTCAAGGCATCTCGCGCAGCGTCTAGGGTGAGCATTCCACCGCGTGCAAATGTGACTACACTTTCCGATCCAGTCCGCCCATAGCCTATGTCCAGCGAGTGTCCTGTACATTTCATCAGAACCCCTCCTTGTCATGCTCCTCGAGTCGAAATCCAGCCTAAGCAATTCGTTAATAATAGTATATGCTGTTCACCGGAGCCAACATGATATACCGTTGCTGTAACTCGATCCTACTGTAAGTGGATGGCATTTCCCACTCGAATATACTTTTTCATTATCCTACCTGACATCACCCATCTTTACATTACATGCGCCTATCACCAAGTATCAACCAGCTGGCTACTGGTTGTAAAACCCCAACAAAGCGCGTTGTTGCGGAACCTGTAAGGAGCATCCTTAACCCACAAATCAACGGAACGTACCCATGCGCACCTAACAATGCGTGCATGCCCGTGCGGAATATTCTTGCAGAACGAGCTGATTTCCCAAGCGCACGCGCGCTTCATGGGAAACTTGAAGTCGATGTCTTCAGCCATCATAACCTCATGGTCGAACAGAGCAGCAGCGCAGTTCTGGTCCAAGCTGTTGCGGTTGTCCTGCAGGCATCGGATGACGCGCGCCGAGCCCTGCACAAACGAGACCATAGGTCACACAAACTCTTCCGACGCCAGAGGGATGCTTAACGCCGCGACCTACCGGCTGAATGTCGCTGCAGAACTTGTCACGATCATCCGTGCAAGCGCTGGCCAGCTTCTCGTCAAAACGAACATCACGGGCCGCGCGCTTCAGCCGACGGTGAATTTCAGCCTTGCATTTCTCACTTTTCAGCTCATCGCGCAGAGTCTGGAGGCAATTAAGCGCTGAAGTCTTGCTGTTGGGGTTCTGCATGATTTGTGTGAGGGATGTCAAGCGGTTGGTCCACATCTCTGTACCTACAAGCAGTCAACGTGCCTTACCTCGTCCATTTGCTTTAGTGTCGCGTCGCAAGTGTCTTTCAGATCACCCTCACAAGCCTCCCTAAGAGCCGTGTCCAAACGGAAGTCTGCCACACGGCTAGCAATGACCTCTTCCAGCTCCGCCTTGCACTCCGCCGAAAAATCAGCCTCGTCAATGTGGTCTTCGAGGCACTCCTGTACACGCATGTGCCCCGGCTCTACGTCCTTGCAGAATTTCCGTTGATCTGTCAAACATTTCTTAAAGAGGCGTGTGCTCAGGCGAATATCATCGCCAGTCTCCTTCTCATTGCGAACCATCTGCTCCTGGCATTCCCAGGTTACATGGAGCCGTTCCTGCGCCTGCAAGTCCCGTTGGAATCAGGCAACCGCGGCATCCACACAGATAAGGCGCAATCTACAATGTGGTGATGACAGTCGTCAGTCTACTACACGCCAGCTGCAGGGTGCAGCAACAATCGACAGAGGAGCATGGGCGGTGCCTGGAACATGGAGCCATGCCTCGTTGTGCAAAGAGCAAAGAATGGCCCAAAGCCGTTCCCGTAATTAGCCATATATTGAGGTAAACGCCGCAAGGACGGCGGAGGAATGGAGGAAAACCAGGTTACTGGAAAATGGACAGGTTTGTCTACCCATTGTCTAAGCGATGCGAACAGCTACTGGATAATGAATACAGAATCTTAAACCAACGGCAACACGACGTGCTATAAACCCAATAGAACGAACTCCGTCACGCTTGGCAACGGGAGGGTAAGCACACTGATTAAGTTGGAAAACGCACAGATTCTGGTTTGCACCTAACGCAAACCCTACGTTGCAACCACCTAGCACAGCCCGATTTACGGATCGGCTGCCCTTCGAAGCAAGTAAAACGCACCAGGCATTCGAGCTCTTCGCCCGACTCCACGTCTTTGCAGCGATTGTTGAAGTCATCCTTGCAGGCTGTGTACAGCTTGTAGTCAAAACGGTAGTCCTCCGCAACCTGTACGAAATGCGTCGTGAACCTCGGGTCGCATGACTGACATTCATTAGCCGTAATATCGCACCTCTTGCTGTGTTCGGAAAACTTCAGCACTGCAGCCCGCTGTCAGTTTTGCCTTCTTGCCCCTGCAAATACCGGAACAGCAGAAGTGACGTCACCTATTAACCCAAAGGATAGACAGACTAAGACTTCCATACTTACAACAGGCAGCTAATAACTGATCCAGGAGCCGTGTCGTCGCTCACGTCCTTACATAGCTTGTCCACATCGTCCTTGCATGCCTTGGCTGCGGCCAAGGCAGTGCCAACTGCACCATTAGCAACTGAACACAATTGCTGAGATCATTTACAACAGCTTACCAAGGGGAACATCCTTGTTGATCTTCTTTGACCTGTCAATCTTGAAGGCTGCCAAGGCCTCTACGCACTTATCAACCACTTTGCGACCTGCGCAACAGCCTTGGATTAGGCAATTGTTTACCTTGCATAATCCTCCCTCAACCTGCATGCTTACCAACAACGTTGCCTTGGCGCTGGGCCCGTATTCGCTTGGTGAGGCAGTTCGCTAAGCGCCCTTCGCCAGCGATTACGTCCTTGCAAGCCGCTTTAGCATCTCCAGCGCACTCCCCTGCACGGGGTTTCCAGCAGCTGAACAACTGGAGCTGCTTGGCTTGGGACCGGACTGTCGATCGAGCTCACCTGTTGCGCTAACGTCCCCGTTCCCGTTATAGAGCTCCGCGCTTCCAGCCGATGGAATAATATTTGAAATCTTAGGCGGTGCAGCTTCCTTCTTTACCGCAGCCGCAGAGGCGGTTGCATCGGCTGCGCTAACAAGTATCAGGTGTGCGCCCAGCGCAAGGGCGAGAAACAAGGACCGCATTGTCCCAGCCTTTGCGCTCAACAATGCTTAGTTTTATACCAGAGCCTAACACGTCATTGGGAAAAATAAGGTACATGGTGCTGACCTCTGATTAACCCTGCCAGGGAAGACCCAGTACGGAAATTCATTATGCATGCAAAATTTCGATTAGTTTGTGAAAATTCTTCAGCATGAATCGCCGTGGCTCATTAATAACCGTGAGTTATTTGTTATCAAAGGAGTCTGTTTCGTTTTCGTATGCACCTGTTGTCCGCACGGCTTCTGCTGAAGTTTTGGTAACTGAACACCTCTGTTAAAAGGATTTTCGCTCGGGTTCTCCGTGTAAAAGTGAGCCCTTGAATGGATTCGGCTACCACAGAGTAAACGGCTTTTATTAGGTATTGGGCGATTTTGAAAAACTTGTCATTGGTGACCAAGTGACGAGTCCCGTAGGCGGTGTGACGGCAGTTTGAGCTGCTTCGTTCTTGTGGGCATCGTACTGCCCATGACTGCACAACGCATTCGGTTCCCCCAATTGCAGTTTCTAAGGTTCAACGCCTGGGGGAGTTGACTTTTGCCGGCATGGGTACTCATGGTCCCGAAATTACTTTCCTGGGCAGTTTGTGTCTGCGACTCCGTAGGGCTCGTGGGTTGGTGGGTCCCTTCTTCGCACGCAGGCATACACGTCAGCACCACCATGCACCATGCACCGTGGCGTATCCGCAGGTTGTACCGCTAACCTGACAACTGACAGCCGCTAAAATTGCTAGCCTGGAGATACGCTACAACCTGCTATACTGAAATACCCTTGCTGCGCGCTTTAACATTGACTTCCGCGTCTGTGCTGAGCTATCAGTAGGATGCGCCCAAAATTAGGGTAGGGGCGTGAAGAGCACATAAAGGATGATCTCTCCTACTCCCGCCCCACCCGCCTTGAACCCTCCAGGTTATTACAGACGCATACATGCCATGCAATGCTCATCGTTCCATTTACAAACCCGAGCAATCAAATAATCACCTGAGTTCTTGCCACGAACGCAGCAGGCCGTAAGAGGCATTCGCTCTGAGCTCGCAATTCGCAGTGGTTTTCAGCGACTTGCAGCACGGAGAAAGCGTGGTCACGGCTGATTTCCTGTACCACTTCCGGAACCACACGAGTTTCCTACTTAAACGGGAATACGCTATGAGCCCCGTATTCGTAACAGTTTATGGCTATTCAGCTACTCTGTTTCAACACTACTCTGCTTCACTATTCAGCTACTCTGTTTCAACACTACAACAGCTACTCTGTTTCTGTACTCTGTTTCAACAGTGTACAAGATGCTCACAGCACACAGCAGCAAACCACAAGGGGGTCCAATCCAGACCCAGCCGTGGTGGTCCAGTAGCCGAATTACACTGAAAGTAGGCAGACTACGCGGCCAGGCCCCCCTTCACATATGCTCGCAGCGGCAAAGTTATCACGACTTTCCGCTCATCGTTCTACACCACACTTCACGTGAGGGATTCCCGTGCCCTAGGGCCCAAGGACACGGCGCTGCTGGTCGTGCGATGCCAAGAAGGACAGGTTAATGCAACAGAGAACTCACACGGAGTATTGGTGGACACCGCAGCCGGTCATGTCGGAAGGCGTGGAGGGAGCCAAGACATCTTTGTGTTTGGCTCTCGAAGCAACTCTTCGTGGGCATGATAGGACCATTGGACCTTTTAGCTCCTGAATAATTACCGTACCTGTGACGAATGCTGAGTCACTACCAATACCGTCTGAGATAGCTAGGTAGAAAGCCGCACGCCACATCCGCTCTTGGCGTAGGCTGCACAGTAATCCATTCCGGGCCACCTGCCGCAACGTAGCTCGGGGGGGATGTTAGTGGAGTACATTCACCTGCTGGAGTATGGCTGAGCTTTCGAGTCATCGTGGTGATGGAGGTTGCCATCCCCGGATATCAGAGGTACTTGTGATACTCATCCAACAGATCAACGACAGCGATGGCATCCTAACGGCATTCCGAAGCATCGATTGTCGTTATAAGCCAAGGCAGAGCCGCCTCTGGTAGGGTCGGTCTGGTGACATGGAGGCAGCTTCATGCGGCGGCCGCACACAGCCATGCAGGAACAGGAGGCATCGGGCCTGGACAACTTAAATGGCGAATTGCCATAACCTGGGCGAGTAGCAACTCAGCGGTGCTTTTTTGAGAGGCAGCACGTGATCCCCCGTACTGCGATTCCTTAATTTTGGGAAGCCTTTTGCTTCATCCCGTGCAGTGTGTCTTTGAACCTTATCAACACAATACGTAATACGGTAGCGCAATAGCTCTCGCCGCCTTGCTCGAATTCCCGTGCATCTGCACTGGGGTCGAGTGCGAGCAGCAAGGACGCCGGAAATGGGACAATACGGAGGGTTGCATTGCGGCGCCCCATCCTCGCATCCTGGGTGGGGAGGTCGGGCACGCATCCTGTCGGTTGGATACATCCTACTCTTTTCCCATCCGTATCTTGTGCCCGACCCTCCGCCGCATCCTGAAAGCTCTGCAACCCTCCTGATGACAACGCAAGAATCTCAAAGCAGACTGAAGCCGATTGACCTTTGCGTGTTGGAGTTCGCGGGGTTTACCTGTAGTGTCATCTATGTTGGCGAGCAGTAACTGAACGCCGTCTTGAAAGCGACATGTCGTCATATGTCTGGGTCATGCATGGTCCGTCTGATGTAACGGATCAACCCAGGTATGGGGAGTTGTCTGAAGGTACGTTAAGGTCCCGTGCAGTGTGTCTTTAATTTCTCATTCCGTATGCAACATGTATCACGACTGCATACACCGGACTGCGGCTGCATGCCTTCAATATACGCCGTAAGCACAGATCAGGGCTCTGATAGCCGTTACACGAAAGGCATAGATGCTGGCATGCTGCGCAGCTTACAGGTGCTTGATAGTGGTTGCCTTAGGTGCGTAGCCGTGCATTAACATCATCTCTGACGGCTTCATACTGAGGCAAAAGCATTGGACTAATTTAGGAAGGCAGACGGAAACCAGCATAGACCGTATAGAGCGCCCATTGCGAACCTTGGCGCTCCGGGTCGCCCGGCGGTAGCCCGTTCTTACCTGATTGTAAAGCGAATAATGCAACTATACATTCCTTTGATATTAAAATATTGGAGCTGCTGTGCGATTCGCAAGGTAGTTGGCTAGTTTAACTGAAACTACCTGTCGCGAAAACGGAGCAGATTGTACCGTATTGCCATTTCACTAGACCTGGTCGGACTTCTGGTAAATTCTCAAAGGTTTTGCGATGATCTGGCTGCCTTCATCGTTCACCACTCCGTGTTACTTTGGAAGGGGCATATCATTCAGCATAAATCTGTGAGCCTAAGACATATAAATCTATTTGCCACTCAGCACGTTGCACAACTTTTCCAATGCTTTAGTGCTATGTCGTCCACCTGGAGTAGATGCATCTAGCTTCAGCCGCCATGGCGTGGCGAGCAACTAATAGCACAATAATCTTCACGAATTGGGCTCATCGCTATTTGTGAACGCCATCCAATCACAGGAAGCGTAGCCTCGTACGGGGTTCATACGCTTCATTAGCAGCCTCCCAACTTAAGCTGAGGAGGCTGCATATTTTCATACCAGGGCTTGTGAGTCTCTGCACCATTATGGAGAGTTATACACGCCATGCACTCAGCCTGTCATCTAAAAGTTTTTAACGGGCTGAATGGTTCGTCGTACAGCGTGAAACAAACGGTCACAAAACTAAGCAAAATTGTGCGTACGCGCATTTCTAATGAATCCTTTCCTGAAGAATAAGAAGTTATATCTGACTGGCCTTGGCGCTCCTTGTTGCATTTGTACAACCTCAAGTTGGACGCTTTAGTCAACGCCCGTCCACTCCTCATCAGAATGGGCAGTCCTTTTCCATTACTGGTAGTACCAGGAATTCTTGTTGCACTTTCAATTGTAGTAGCTGCGGTGTTGCTAAGCGTGCGTAAGAAGGCACCGGTCCGTAAGTCAACAGAAGCGAAGGCGCTTGGCAAACCGGAAGTTCAAGGCACAGTATACGTGTCGGATGTGAGTCCTAACAGCAGCCATAGTTGTGTGCTAGCGCTGGTCTGCTCACAGTCAGATGTTGACCGCATCCGCCGACGTGTCAATTGCAGGGTGAGGGCCACACTGTTCGTCGGTCAACCAGGTGAGGTCTCATGAGCTCTCACATGAATAAAAGATAAAATCCGGATTGACTTACTTTTGGGTTGAGTGAATGGGAGCATAATTTTTCCTTGGCTACGGCCACGTAACAACGCCCTAAACTTGCAACTATAACCCAATAGGCCAAGGAAGCCCATTGCCTCTCCTGGATACGTCCCTTCATCACCTATGCGCACAAAGGATAAGCCTGAGGTGGGTGTCTCGAGTTTCCTGCTTCCATGCTGCATTCACCACTCATCCCCGAACATTCGCTAGTAACAAATCTCCTTAACCCTTATTCGCAGGGGGCAGCGGCACTCGGGTTGAGCCCGGCAGCCGGGTCACCTCGCACGCCTCGTGCCACCAGCAGCGCTGCCGCCGCCACCCCAGAGAAGAACGAGCAACAAGCTAACCCAAGGCCTCGCACCAGACGGACTCCCCGTGTGTAGCCAAAATGTCAGAACTGCTGCTCTAATCGTTGTTGCATTGGGAATTTGGAAAACGCGTGTTGGAAACGCGCAGTGCTGATATTATGAAGTTGTTTACTCCATGTGATAGATACAACCTGCATTGCAGTCTGGGTTGACGCGCAAGCCCATTGCACTAGCCCATTCAACCATCCAAAAATAGAAATTCTATCTCTCTAGCATGGCGCTTCGTCGTCCGATAGGGCTGCGCGTCCGGAAACCTCGTTGGTTTTATAACAAGGCGGTCGCACCCGGCACATAAGCAACACTGAGCATCACAGCGCGTCGCACGTAAACGGCAGAGCACGTTGCCGAGCCCTGTACTTTCGCGCACCGCCAATTAGGAGTGGGTGTGGAGTCCGTTTGTTTTCCATCTAGCACAATGGACATGTCCTAGCTGCCTGTGCCTCGGGCAAAACGAAATGCTTAGACATCTTGGCCTCTCGTAAATGCAAAACTGTTGGGCGGGCTGGGGCCTACTGAGCAGCATGTGGGTAAGATTGGCTGAAGGGGAGGGTGGGCGTCACCTGGCCACCTCATAGCAGGGCCAAAGTCGGGAAATCCTGAAGCAACTCGTCCTTGCTGTAACTGTCGCCTTCCGCCTGCAGCACATCACGACATGCAAGCCACCGCATGCGCCGCGTTTGGTGGTGCTTGGTGTGCAAAATAAACTGGTAGCAGCCGGCCAGCACAGATATCCAAGGAAGAGCCTGTCAAAACCAAAGAAAATCCTTCCCGTGCCTCACCTGCGGCGTCCACAGCAACTCAAAGGCCAGCAGCGTTTCCGGTGTGATGCTGCCCAGTGCAGTCAGTGCTTTCCGCATGTCCGCGGAGCTGCTAATCTTGGGCAGCTTCAGGCGGCCCTCCACAGCCACCAGCAGCGTTACGCACAGCCAGTTGTCAATGCCGCTATCTGGAGGAGGGAGGAAGTATACAATTGAGAAGGAACGCTAGAGGACTAGACAGCTGCCGCCAGTCACAAAAAATCGACACACGCCAAAAACTCCGACAAACAGCCCTGTCTGCTTGACAAGACGGGACTCTCCCTGCGCGTGGGTATTCTTTGTTATGCGAATACACGCACCCCAGGATTGCTTGATATCAATCGACTGCACTCGGCGGCGGCCGTCCACGTTTGAGTAGGTTTCCTCCTTGAACTTGGTGCGCTCTTCAAGGGAGACCTGTTGCCGTGGCAGGGTGAGAGGGGGGAGTGCCGCCAGAGAGCCAGTGAACCACCGGCGCCGCAAACACTTTGGCATTGCCGGGCAGCATACTCGGCTTCCTATGTCCACTATTCCAATGGTCGCATAGCTGCGATGCCGATTATCGGGTGGCGGGCCCATGGCTTACGGAGCTGCATGTAGACCGCAGTCTAAAACACCGAGCCCCGTCCCGATCCCGCCCTGGTTGGCCCTGCCCTGCGCCGAGTCAGGGGCAGGGCGCTAGGCCTTTGGTACGACAAACAGACGCGTCGTACGGTACGTATCAACGGGATACACGACGTTGATCCTGGCACTTTCCTCTGGGCCCAGTCCCTCGCATCGCCCCAGCCGCACCTGGTTGAACTTCCGCTCACAGTTATCCAGGTTATCGAACATCTTGCCGGCAGTCTGGCCGTACGACACGTACTCCATATTGCGGAGAAGCTTCGTAATCGTTTCTGCGCGACCAAGGTTGAACCAATCCTTATACGTGCACACGCAGGGCCACGGAGCCTTCGAAATCACATTTCCCGTCCCAGACCGGAGCCAAACACCGCAGCCAATGGAACGCAAGGCTCGCTCCGTGTTTCCAACCGGCTCCTTGGGGCCAACTCTCTTGCCAACCTTCTTTCTCTTGCTGCTATCGCCACCTGCCCTGCTCTGTAACCTACCCTGCAGGATGAAATGCAGGCTCTCTTCATCCTCCGTGTCGAACAGCTCTGACAGCCGCTCCAGATCCTTCTGCCACTTGCGGACGTCTCCGAAGAGCCCCACCTGCACCTTCATCACCGTGTATTCCTCCTCATAATCTTCGTCGTCACCTAGTGAGCGCACGGGAAACGGGAGACCTTAGGAAGGAAGACAGAATGGGCAAAAAGAATGAGAACGTCGGGCTCGGGACTCCCGGCCAAATAGCGTGCCCTGTCTGGACGCACCCGCTCATTGCTTTGTGCACCTTAGCATTGCAAGCAACTATTCACGACACATTTCTTAAGCCACAGTCCTCGGCCTGATGGGGTTCGGAAGCGCCCGCTGCAGGCTGCGCTGTAATCAAGGGATATAGCCATGGCAATCCATTATTGGAGCACCGTAATCTCCTGTTGATGACCTTGATGATCCCAACAACGGTGCTGTTTGGTCCCGACTCCGAAGGTCGCCTCTGCATGTACAGGGGCGCGCAAAAGGACATTCGCTACCGCCTACCTCCAAAGCCAAAGAAGTAGACCGACGGCCGAGCTACTGCTTGCGCCCTGCGCGAGAAAGGGACTTATCAGAGTGTTCGTGCGATCGGAAAACCTAATGACTCACGTTCGTGTGGAATAACCGCTTTACTGTCTTTACAGGAAGCATGCTGGTTCGGAACGGAGGGAAGGTTGAGGGGGCCGAATTGCCGAGATTACGAGCTAGGATCCCACATAGGGTTGACAGGAGAAACGGACCGGATAAGACTCAGAGCGCGACATAACCCGGGGGCCAGCAATTGCGACCATCTTCTATTAAGCATGCGCAGAGGTCAACGGGAAAGTCCTACATGGATCCGATTCCTGGCTGCGTTTTGGAGTGAAACTTGAAAGGGAATAAACGAACCAAGGAAAGACAATTGAGCATGGATCGCACGAAAAACGCTGTTGATGGCGGGGGAGGAGCTGAATGCAAGATGCAAATGCCCATCGGGGCAATAATCCGATCCCCTGCCTTCCAAGGCGCCATCACAGCGCTCGCCTGATGGATTGGCGTTCAATATGGGGACGCGTGGTGGCAGCCTGCCACCTTGCTGGGGAGCTGGGCTTGGAGCAGGGCTTGAAGCTATGGGGTGCGAGTCGCCTGCTGAAGGCAGGGACGACGAAGGAGGCCTGCAAACGGAACAATGATCGGGGAGGTTTTGAAGCACACCCGCCGCCGAGGAGTTGCCGAAACCCAGCAGGAAGAGGCAAGGTCAGAGTTTGAAATGAGTTGGTAAAGCTGATGATTGATGATCCGCACCTGATGTCTCGACCTAAGGGAGCCACAGCGGTCCAGCTGCTGCTGCTGCATGGTGGTGATTATATACGCGCTCCTGCATTCAATGCAGGGAGAAGATCAAATGAGTTCGGAGTATAAGCGACAGAGGGTGCATAATGACGACCTTGTGATCTACCCGGACAGAGATGATCGGTCGACTGGTGCTGTCAGGGACTTGGAGCCGACGCCCGCGACTGATTGTTTTCCAGATAGCAACCCTGCCCTGGAGGCTTCCCAACCCAACCTCGAAAATTAGGTAAATGGCTACAACTACGACGCCGCCGTGCGATTTGTCCCAAGCTATTTGCTCCAATCAATCATGTACGGCACCCTGCCATTCGGGACACCGACCTTACCTAAGTGCTGTGCTTAGTTCGTTGTGTCGTTCAGCTTGGAACTTGCAGTTTGGGCTGAGTTAAGCTTTTACGTGGGCTTGCACAGTCTAGGAGGCTTATCGCCCACGCACTTGCCCTTTCCCAACTACGTTGCCTATGGCGCTACAAGGCACCATGCGCGCTCCATGTGAGTAAATGTTTATATAGTGAATACGAAATACGAGTGGTAGTTATGGAATGCGGACTCTTTGTGGAGCTGATGTTTGGTCGCGGAACATTCGCTTGCAGGCAGCACCGGCCGGATGGCGCGCCGTGCAGTTAAGGTGTTCGCTGTGGCAGCTACGCCCACTCCTGCACGGACGCCAGCTTCCACGGGCTCGGTAAGAGTGCGGCGGCCGCGTCAACGTTGCATTTATTGTAGGAAGCGCTCTTGCCGCCACGGAAGATGTTCATATAAGTACTTATGGCATAAACGGGCCCGCGTCAGGGGCTTTTTGTTCAACCGACAAGCGTGCGGCGTGTGTTTTGTAGCTTCGTGGGTTTGGAGAGTGCTTAAAGATTATGCCACATATTTGGCTGCTCCGCTCTCAATAGGTGAAGCGTGCTTTGACGATGACGGAAAAAATTCTGGCGAACCACTCGGACAACTCCACCGTCAAGCCCGGCGATAACATCTGGACCCGCGTCGACAAGCTTATGACGCACGATGTATGCGGTCCGGGGACTTTTGGAATCTTTCAGAAGGAGTTCGGGCCAAACGCTCAGGTTTGGGACAATGAGCGTGTGGTCATTATTCCGGACCACTATATCTTCACTTCCGATGCACGCGCCAACCGCAACGTGGACATTCTGAGGTGGGCCTAGGCTGGTGGGGCCCTGTTTTAAGAACGGGTTATGCTACTTTGTGAAACAGGTAATGGTCCGGTGGCTGTGATCACGCAGGGACGGTTTTCCATTTGACCCGGGGCCCGTGGCGTGACACGTTAACAGCAGTCGCATGCCATGAATGGCGCATGTGTTACATGTATTATAAACCAGGGAAACGCGGAACCTGCAATCCCCAGACATTGACTTGCCGTACTTGTTTATCTGACTTGTCGTACTTCAGGGATATGGCCACTAAGTACAATATCAAGTACTTCTACGATATCACGGACCGTAGCAACTTCCGTGCTAACCCGGACTACAAAGGTGTCTGCCACGTGGCGCTTGCACAGGTAATGTACCATGAGAACGAACCTCACGACAGGAATATAACACATGCGTTGGCAGGGCTTGGAGGGCTTTCCATCGGCCGTAGCGTTACGACGGACGAACAGTGCAGGGCCTTCCTCGGCTCGATTTGTGGACCTGACTGCGGCTGCTGGTGCTGCGAACGACGACCTAGCCACACGGGTTAACTGCGAAAGGTGTACCGCGGGATGAAGTAATACCCCGACAAACGACCTTGGGCGTTTGGGGTTCAAGAAAACAGGGCGGACGGGTGTCCTGGGGTGAAGTGTACGGATTGGGCTTCTTTCCTCGGGCTACTAGAAGGAATACTTTCTCCATTTCTCGCGTGTGGTTGGGACACCACACTGCTGGAACCGGAGGCGGTTAGTAATCAGAAACACGTGTGCACCGTGCCCTCGATTGGGTGGCACATGATGGCCGGCCGGCCAGGGAACTCGCTGCTGGGTTGGACAGGTGCCTCGGCGTGCGCTTGGTGTTGGAGCTTGGTTAATATGTATTCCGGAGTCCGGCATGGGCGGCTAGCTTCCGAATTTAAGTCTTCGTGGCTGGCCTCTGATCAAATTCATCAGTTTCAATTTATCCTAGCTGTCCACAAGTGTTCATATGCCATGTATACACATTTGCACTAGGTTAGGCACTACTGGTAAGGCACGACCATTTCCCCCGGGAGATCCGTGGATCGAGACCTGTCAGGGTCGAAAATCCTTCCGATGGTGGAAGGTAAAGTGCCCCTGGTCGATGGACGGTGGTGACCTGGGATAAAGTTGATTTGCGAGCCGACCAGGAATGGAGTTGGGCCGCCGTCGATCAGGCAGATTCCGTTGGATGCTGGTGGTGGTGCGGAACCTAAGCGATCCACTGAGAAGTTGAATAGGGTGACTAGATAAGGGTGCCCCGAAATACCGGGGAAGGCCGGGTTTCGCAGGGTAGCTGCCACGGGTGAAGATATGGCCCCCTGTTCCACACATCATATGTACAGGTAGCCGCTGCTCCCCTCGCCAGGAGGTGTTGTCGACGGAACCTGAACGTGATGAGAAGGCCGGGACTGGTCGTTCGCTATCCTCTTTCTATGCCCTGTGCATGACGACTGTTGACCAACAAATCACGCCCGTGAGAATGTTTTGCAATTTGTATGCGGGCCCAATTCGCAGGAGGGCCACTGCAAGCCTGGTGAGGTGCTGTTTGGCACGGACTCCCATACCTGCAATGCTGGTGCCTTCGGCCAGTTCGCCACGGGCGTCGGCAACACCGACGCAGGCTTCATCCTGGGGACCGGCAAGCTGCTGATCAAGGTTCGCCCGGGCGCGGCCGGCCAGGGTGCCGGATGGAATAGTAGGAGGAATGAGATCGAAGCGGAACGGGAATGTTGGGAAGGAAAGCTGCCTTGCCTGCATCGCAAGGTCCCTTGCGGGCCTCCTCCGTAAGCCATGCGAAGTCATGCAAAGAGAAAGACTTATCTGGAACCTGCGTAGTGCTCATGTTTTGTAACCCTGTCAAGTGCCGATACACCACCCACGCGACTGATTGTTTGATACTTTCCTACATCGTATCCTACACTCTCTCACGTATGGCTCGCAAGGTCCCGCCCACCATGCGTTTCATCATGGATGGCGAGATGCCCGAGTACCTGCTGGCGAAGGACCTCATTTTGCAGGTGAGTTGCGGGTGCGGGTGTGGCTGGATGGTATGCGGAGAGGGAACGGCTGAATGGACTTGCTAGCGTTTTCAAAGCAGGGTACTGAAAAAACGATCCAGCTTTGCTCCGACTGGCAAATCAGATCAATTCCCCCACAGCTGGGCGACTTCTCCTGCAGCGTTTGGTGAATTGCTTTTCTCTTTCCCGCGGGGTACGCGTGCCTTCAGATTATCGGTGAGATCTCGGTGGCTGGCGCTACATACAAGGCCATGGAGTTTGCGGGTACCGCCATTGAGGGCATGAACATGGACGAGCGTATGACCATCTGCAACATGGTGGTTGAGGCAGGAGGTGAGGGCGGGCGGATGGACGGGGCGGGCAAGAGGGTCGGAGGGGAGCCATTGGAAATTGGAAAAGGGCCAGGTTCATGCAGGTTGCTCTAGGGCGTACGGTGGAAAGGGTAGCCGTGGCTGGCATATATCCCGTTGAGCAGCGGAATTAGACAAAGTTTTGCTAAAGCGGTCATTGCACCCTTTTCCCTTGTTCGGGAGGGACGTGCGGGTGCTGAGTTCCGGGACATCAGATATGGTCTGGACACGTGTTGCCTGCAGGAGGGGTACATTGGCCTAGGAACGGGGATTCGGAGCGGGATTCCCCAAGGATATCAGACGCCGAGGCGTCCTAAAATAGATGGCAACAGCAAAGGAGGTTTCGGCGTGGTCCTCTCGGCTCCAGTTCGGTTATTCATGTCCGCATGTTTTCCTGCCGCAGGCAAGAACGGCGTTATTGCGCCCGATCAGACCACCTTCGACTACGTGCGGGCCCGCACCCAGGAGCCATTCGAGGCCGTGTACAGCGACGGGGCGGCGAATGTGAGCTTGTGCGAAAAATACAATGCTAGGGGGATGCACGCAGGTAGCAAAAGGCGTTATTAGTGCGAGGAGGCATGGAGGAAAGGCCCAACACGCGGTTTGTGAAGCAAATGCCGTGTCGTGTCGTCCTCTCAACGGATGGATTGTGCCACACAAGCACGTGAAACGCTTTGTTCCCTTGAATGCTCCCTGTCGTACCCCGTGTTGACCTCTGCAGTACTGTGCGGACTACAAATGGGATGTGTCAAAGCTGGAGCCTCTGGTGGCGGCGCCCCACTCGCCAGACAACCGCAAGACTGCCCGGGAGTGCTCGGACGTTAAGATTGACCGCGTCTACATCGGCAGTTGCACGGGTGAGTAGCTGAAAGGCTGGACAGTCTTGCTGTACCACTGAAATTTGGTGACAAACGTTGATTTCATCTATCATTAATCTGTTGTATCGATTTGTATCGGTTCTTCCGGACACCGTTTAATGCTAAGTGTGCCTTAGTGTCCCTCATCGTCCTAGCATTTGGGTTGCCTCCGCTCCTTAACCCCCCCCCACACACACACACTTCCAGTCTCCCTCTCAACCCTCTGGTCTTCTTGCTCTGCGCATTCCATGCGGCTTCGCGCTTCCCCAGGTGGCAAGACGGAGGATTTCCTTTCTGCCGCCAAGCTGTTCTACCGGGCCAAGCGCCAGGTCAAGGTGCCAACATACCTGGTGCCTGCCACGCAAAAGGTGAGCTGTTGAGTTTTGTTCTCGGGGGGTTAGCTGGGCCACAGTGTTACACGCGAGCGGTGCAATCCAGGTGTGGGTTCGGCAGTACCACGCAACCAGACAGTTGCGCCGACCCGCACGATGCCTTCTTGTGGTTGCTGCTCTTTTCATTGTCTGTGGTAGCTGCTGGCGCGTGTCTTCGATGCGGGGCCAGCACGTTAGTAATGATTTCATGTTCAAGGAAGATAAAGTGTGATCTCTCGGCCAATCAACATCCGGAGGAGCATGTGTAGTTATGCCCATATAATATGTATCGGGTTGTTGCACGCCGCACGGCTCCTGGACGCAGGTGTGGGCCGATGTATACACGCTGCCGGTGCCGGGTTGCGACGGTAAGACTGCAGCGGAGATCTTTGAGGAGGCCGGATGCGTCACGCCCGCGGCACCCAGCTGCGCCGCATGCCTTGGCGGCCCGCGCGACACCTTCGCGCGCATGAACGAACCGGAGGTGTGCGTGTCGACCACCAACCGCAACTTCCCAGGCCGCATGGGCCACAAGGAGGGCCAGATCTACCTCGCCTCGCCTTACACAGCCGCAGCATCGGCGTTGAAGGGCTACGTGTGCGACCCGCGCGATTACATGTAAAGGCGCGAAGGTAATGGCCTTGCTGACACCGCTGCAACAGCAGCGGTAGCGGTGTAGGGGCCCTGGAGGAAGGGGAGCAGGAAATGCCACTGAAGCAGCGCGGGACGGCAACAGGAAGCCCCATGCATCCAGAAAGGGAGGGGGAAGAGCAGGGTTGTGGTGTGTCGAAGGAGGCAGCTTTGGGAATAGGGACGGGGTGCCCGCACCGCGCCGGCGTCAATAACTGAGCGAGCGTGACAAGTTCAGGTCGTCTACGATGTGGAGTTCTCGTTGTATACCTTGCGGGGGTGCATTGTTACTTGTGCGCTTAGAAACGGGGGGCCTGAACTCGGATGGTGCGGCGGGACAATTGGCGACGTGTGCGTGAAATGTGGACCGTGACAGCGCTACGGTGCAGGGGGAGCCGTCGGAGTTGTGCTACCAGACTGTCGATAGCTACCAGCCAGCCAAGGAGGCGCGTACAGGGGGCTGTAGTCGGCTGCTTATGTTTAGCAGCGGGTGGAGAGTCGCCACTGCATATTTCCTAAATGGCGTGAAGGATAAGGACTGTAGCGAAGCGGCCGTTAAACGCAGATTTTAAGAGTCGGTGCGTATCTCCATGGCAGCTTCCGGCCGTGTATCAGGGTGTGGCGCGGTGTTGAGCCGGGAGGTTGTGGTTGCGGTCACGCTGTATGGGAGTAGGCTGTACGGCGTTGGCGCTACCGTGGGGACTGTCCCTGCTACTCACGCCATGGCCCGTGGGCCCGTAAGTGATTAGTGGTGCGGAACCTTTTGCAAGTACGGGCAAGGCAGGTGGGTTGTGAAGTGGAGAGGACTTTAATGCCTTCGAGGTGGGCCAGAGTTGTTCAACAGCTCCGCGCTCCGGCTACTGTTCCAGAGCTTCACGTTACCGCACTTCATTTTGGCATTGAAAAGTAGTCCAAAATGGAGGCGTAAAATGGCAAGCACGTCCCATATACACCGAAGGCGTACTCAGCAAAAGAGCCCCAGCAGGCCCCAGGGATTGCATGGGCAGACGTAGAGGGTAGGACAAACTGTCGGGCAGAGCAATTCTTTTGACTGCCCCGGTCGCACAATTCCCGTGCTTCCCTAATTCGACACCCTGAACACGCTAATTCTGACTGTCCGAATGTCCCTGCCAGGCCAATTCGACACCCTGTCAGCCTAATTCTGACTGTCGGAATGTCCCGCCAGGCTAATTCGTATCCCTGTCAGGCTAATTCTGACTGTCGGAATGTCCCTGCCAGGCCAATTCTTATCCCTGTCAGGCCAATTCAAGGGCCTGTCCCGGCAATTCAACTTGTCCCAGGTGTCAATTTAAACCCTTCTACCGAGCAATCTAGACCAATTGCAGGGTCTGCCCCCAAACTCTCAGGCACGCATTCAGAATCGCGGAAGTTGAAGGAACTTTACGAAACAAGGGGAGCACTTACAAATATCTCTCGTATGTTTGTTGGTTTCAAATCCGTACATGCTTGTACGGTAACAAGGCGTGTGGGGCTCCTGCCACTTCCTGCCCCATATGGGACACGGTAACAAGGCGTGTG